CCCCCCCCCCCCGAAGTTGGAATTAATTTTTATTGTTTATTTACATCACATCTATTCTACAGTAAAACATTCATACTGTGAAGTTGGTTTCTTCTGTTTTTTTAAAAAGCATTCCTAATAGGTATAATGAATAATTAAGAATCAGACACCACTGTTTCTCCTAAGACAATTTCAACTGTACTTCAGTTGCTGTGAATGTGTTGTTTCCTCAGCCACACTTGGTTAAATAATTCTATTGACAGACAGGGTCCAATTAAGCAAAAGCCCTTAAGATGCATTGACCTGTTTGAGGAATTGTGCAGCGTCCCCCACTGCAGTCACCGAGGTGATTTTAGGCTGTCGCTAAGATTTTAGGCTGTGTGATTTGTTTGACGCAGACGAGACTGTAGTTGTGTGAGTGAAATTATGCAAGAATAAATCAATTTTTTTTTACAAGTTTGACTGCGTACTGTGACATTCTTGAGAAGTGCTAAAGAGCAGCGACATGGTGTCAGACATATAAATAAATCTTCAGCTTAGTATTGTTGACAAAACATAGGTGTATAAGCGACGTGACAGCCTCAGCAGCAGGGAAATAACTTACCAGCATTTAATGTCACACTACTTTACTTTTCATCTCTGTAATGCACTGTTGCAATTTTTTTTCATATTTGAAAAGTTGAGAGTTGACCGAATCTGTAATAAAACAGTAAAAATAAATTATCAAAAAAATAACAATTAAACCACCCACTGCATAAAACCTAACGAGACAGTTGCTCAGTGGGCAGGTGCCATTAGTTTGTGGGCATTGCTGCATTACACAGGCCCTGCTCTGTGGCCAGGAACACCAGCCCCAACTTGCCTGACAGTGGCAGTGGCTCTGCTGCCCGAGACTATAGGAAGCCCCATGCTGGTCTCTCCCCTAGTTTTTGTTAATAATTACTGAATTTGGCCAGCTGCCCTGAGGGCAATACCCACGGTATCTCATGACGCAGCGGGTCCCTTTGTCTGTCTCAGCACCCGCTAACCAAAGCCTGCACAGAAAGGATGTGTTCCATCTTTCGCAGCTGTTTTGGGGCTGGGTTGGCACATTAGGACAGTGCTGCACCCCGAGGGTTTGTGGATCACAGCTGCTGCAGCAGTGGGTGCAATGGGACACCTCAGGAAGTGTCCCATTGCACCAGCTGTTTGGGGCACTGCTGCACAGTGCTGAGCTCTTGAAAGCTCCATCGCCTCAGGTGCAGCCTGATGAACCTCTCTGCTGCTACAGAGCAGCACCAGGAGTGGAAAGCTGGGTGTGGGAGGCCACTTTGGGCCACCCACTGCCCCATGGCCTGCTCAGCCTGCCCCTCTGCCAGGGCTACAGGCCTCCAGCAGCCCCTCTGCCCTGCCTGAGCCTCCTGGGGAGACCCCAGTGCCACCCACCCTCGTCACTGACCCTGCAAGCTTCAGCGCTCCCTCCCCTTCTCCAGCACAAGCCCCACGGCCTCTAGCACCAGCACTCGATTCTACCTCAGGGCATTTTCCTTCCCAGTCCTCTCCTGCCCCTGGGAGGGCTGAGGAGAAGCTCATGTACTTACCCTCCACCCTCTCCAGGGAGGCAGCCCCGGCAGGAAAGTGAAGCACCAGAGAAAGCCCAGGGCTATACAGTCTCTCCCCTGCAGGGACTACTTAAAAATGTGCTTTTAAAAAAAAAAAAATGTGGCTGGTCAACAGGTTTCAATCATAATGCAATGAAGGAAGCTAGGACCATCAGTTCAACACTCCACCCTGCAAGACTGGTATCTATCCAAAATTAAGCCAAACATCAGTTCTTGACCAAGGACCAACAGCAAGAGCAGGTATCGCACACTCCTCCACAAGCCTGTTGGAGAATGAATGGAAAACAGCCACAGCACAACAAGAGAGAAACCGGGTACTTGGAAATTTGTGTGCAAAGGTTAACGGGGAGCACACACAGCCTGTCATGGGAACACTGCCCTAGTGCTCGCCAGCTGCAAACCCCTGTCCTGTCCCAAACATTTCTGTTTGCAGTTTTAACTTACAAACACCTCAGCCCCTCACTAGTAAGCTTTTAAAGGGTAATTTTAGTTTAAGGCCTATACAAAACTCTCTCCAGTGATACAGACACGGAAGTAAACTGGGCCCTATATAGCCTTTGCTGCTGAGAATGCACCGTGACACGACTGTCTAACAGCCACTGTCACGCTTACGAAAGAGCCTCCCAGTCGCAGTCCCAGTGTTTGTGCCCTTCACACACAGAAACAGCACACGCAGCAGCAGGTCTGTTGTTCCGCCCTCTTGACAACACCCGGCGCAAAAGTTTTCTCCAGAGACTGACAGAACCTCAGCATCAGTGACCTCATTTATCAGCTCCTACAGAATTATTCTCCATTTCCTTCAGAGAAATGTTCACCTGCATTCAGGGTGAGCCAAATTTTCAAGCTGTGTCATGCAAAGTTCCACGAGAACTAAGCGAAACTCACTGCAGCTTCATCACCTTCCTCCCGCAGTGCTGTGTTTCTGAATCAAAATAACTTTACACCAGCTATTCAAGAAGACATAATTTTATTGTTCCATCTGACAGGTTTCACTGTGAATGACAAGGAGGGCTTGCTAGACAGTCTCTCTCATGATTTTGGTGAGTTTCTGGATCTTTGACCTTGTTGACATGTCCACGTACTTCTCCCCAATATTGACAATCATGCCACCAAGGATTGATGGATCAGTCTAAAGAAGAAATATTAAACAGAAACTTTATTAGCAAAAATCTATTAGCCTAGTAGAAAATGTTTACATTAGTAAAAAAAGAAAAAAGCTTTTAAGTGCCTTTTTTGAGATAACTTGACAGCCACTGTATTCCAAAGTTAAGATTTTAATAATTAAAAGTATCAGATCTACAAGAAAGCACCGAACTATGTAATACAGCAACTGGCTTCAGTAAAATGTTGTTTGTTTGGTTGTTTTTTTTTAAGATCAGAGAGACAGAAGCCCAGCTTAACATGAACTTGATGAAATTTATTTACAAATCAAAAATCCAGACCTTGGTCTCCAGCTTCAAGACCTCTCCCTTAGCCAAGAATCCATTCAGAGCACTTTTTAGCTCAGTCACGCTGGCATCATCCAAGGGCTGGAAAATATGAACAGAAGGAAAACAACAGATATAAGAATATACAAATGATATAACAAGAATCGAGATTTTCTATTCAGATTCTTCTAAAGACAGAGAGTTCCACCAGGAAGGCAGATTAAGCAGCCTTCTTGAACAGGAATAACCAAAGGACAGTACAGAAACAGCAGTCACTTTGTATCCTCCTAATTCCACAAAACATTGTGTTATTTGTGCAGATATTCCAGCGATAGTTTGATGGTGACTTCTTCAGACAGCACACATCAGGGATCCAGACTTGCCAAAGCAAGCACTTGATGGGAAATCTTGAGATCTGCCCCACAGCAGTGTTCGGGCTGTACAGGGAAAGATTAACTTTGCTGCTTCTAACAATTAAGAGTGTCAGCTTGAGAAGAAACATGGTTTCATGCAAAAGCACTGGGCAGTGACCGAGGGCAGTGGCAGTGAGCTCCCAGCCCGGCTGCACGCTTGCAGAACGCTCCTGGGTAAGTACACCTCTCTCCATCACCACAGAAGAACTCTGCATCCCTGTGGGAGACACACTGTGAATTTGTCCTTGCTTTCCCCTCCGAGAGCATTGACACAGAAACAAAAGGGTCATCACCAAAGAGTAGCGGCTTTGTGTTACTGGCAATTTAAATAATTTCTATTTAATAGCTAACAGTTTGAGAGCCAAAAGAAACTAACAACAACAAACAGCAGGAAACTAACTTTACATTTGTGGAAAGGTTGGCGTAGGCTTGTGAGTTCACATGTCCCTGAAGGCTGACAATCTGTGCTCGTGGCCTACAGGGAGCCAGTTAATCTGAAGTGGATCAGTCTCTTTTTATTTAGCACCACAGGCATTCCCAGTCCTGTCAGGCATCTGTCTCGCTCTGGCTAGTAGCTCATCTGTTAGTTCTGACCTGATCTGTACAATCCTGACGTCAGAAATAAGAACAAGGATAGTTGTGTCTACAGACCAGGCTGACTTTTATCAGCCACTGTGTTCACAAATAGGAAGGAAAGATGTTACCTGTTAAACTGAAATGAGAAAAACAGATTTAATTTTTGAACAATAATTGTTGGATATCAAAAAACCATTTGCAGAAAGACTTTCATCTTGGTAAAAGTGAAATATTTCCTCACTACCCATATAGCAAATACTTAAAGTACAGAGAGTAAAATGAAGCTAAAGAAGCTTCCCTTTTATACCGCTACCTGTCAAGTTCGCTCTAGAGCTTCCCAACTCACCTGCGCAGTTACAACGGTGCAGAGCACTTCTCCTCGGTATGCACTCATGATCTTCCCAAACGCAGACACAATGTCTGGAGTGTAGCGCAAGCGACCGTTTTCAGCCAGTAAATCTGGAAGAGGCAGATGCATTGAAAGGGTTTAAAGCCCCCACTAGAAGCAGATTTGGTAAGCTACCAGTAAAAACAAGTATCTTCAGAGGTTTTTCAGAATTCAAACGGTTACTCACTCATCAGGTTGACAGTAATAGGTGACATCTTCTCTTTTGCTAAGGCATCGTTCACAGCCTTTTGTTTAACTGCGCTCTTAGTATGAGGGTTCAAAACAACACTGGATAGCTTGGGGTCCTTCAACAGAGTCTAAGAGGATAAATAAACACCATGGTAAAGACCAGGCATTACAAGGCCTAACCAGACCACCCAAAGCAGGAAACACGGTCATGATTAAGGGAGTGGAGCATCTCCCTTATGAGGAAAGGCTGAGGGAGCTGGGGCTCTTTAGCTTGGAGAAGACTGAGAGGTGACCTCATTAATGTTTATAAATATGTTAAGGGTGAATGTCATGAGGATGGAGCCAGGCTCTTCTCAGTGATGCCCAATGACAGGACAAGGGGCAATGGGTGTAAGCTGGAACACAGGAGGTTCCACTTAAACTTGAGAAGAAACTTCTTTAGGTGAGGGTGACAGAGCACTGGAACAGGCTGCCCAGGGAGGTTGTGGAGTCTCCTTCTC